GTGGGGCGCCCTTGTGGAGTGTCAATGAGTGGGCGGTGGACTCGGCGCGGAAGCTGCTACGCAGGAAGGGACCGTTGTGGATGGGAGATATGCTCGATCGCAGGAGTCGTATGGAGGACGATGTGCCGTTAAAGTGATAGATATCATCGATATGCTTGGATTAGTTTATGTACAGGGTTCGTAACAGCAGCGTGTGGATAATGCAAATTTAAACCTGCACATTCATTCAATGAACACAAGCTCCTTCCACTCTCTCTCGGACGGCGAAGCTTTGGCGCGGAGCAGGGACCTGAGGAACATGGGAAGCATTGCGTACCACTCTCGGTCGTAGAAGCTCTCGGGGAGGCCAACTACAGGGTTTCGAGTAGACATTTTCCTTGTCTCCGGAGGGTCTCTGATACGCTGCGCTCGCACCCGCCCCTGCCTCTTGAACGAGGGCAATTTCGCATGCATGGACTCCAGGATCTGCAGCTCCTGTTCGATATTGCGTCGCCACGGAACAGACATCACCTTGAACACCTTGGGTTGCGTTGGATCCTCCTCGTCCTCGCTGCCGCTGTCCTCGGAGCTCATGCCTCCTGCGCCAAACATCTCTATCATGCGCTGGAGGAACCGCCAACTGTCTGCATCTGCATCGTCCTTGCGATACTCGAGGATTTCGCTTGCGGCGGCCAGTCTGGTTCAATATTTCTATTGCAGCTGTTAGCGGTTGTACCTGCAAGCCGTAAAGTGCACTCTCATACATAGGTGCGCGCGTCTGTGTGCCTCCGCATCCTCATCAGGTTGTCCTCCCTGGTGGCAAGACGGGCTAGGATTTCTTCCATCGTCTCTTCCTTCCCGGTCTTCGGATTATGGCGAGGACGACGTTGCCGCCATTTCTTCTGCATCGTTGAAAGGCGCGACCATATAATGTCTTCCCAGTACGCTTCGCTCCGGATATCTTCTGTGTACTTGCCGTTCTCCTGGAAGTATTTTCGCGCATTTTCTACCATCAACTGGAGCCAACACTTGTTCCACAACGTGTTCATCGTAGATAGATCTGGGATCATGTTCTCCGGCGTGGGTCCACCATCCTCACCGCTGCTCTCCTCAAACTGACGCCTCTGCTCTGCCGATATGTTCGTGACACCGAAGAGGTCAAAATCGGTCTTGATGCCGAGTCTATCGCGGACCACCAGAAGGACATATCTCTGCTCCGATGAGATATTGTATCCAGAGGTTAGACGTGTAACTAAAACGAACTCACCGCATGGCGAGCCCTGCCCTCGCGAGACACCAACTGTTTCTCTTGTCGCAACTTCTCTTTCGCTGGGGTCATAGGCCATGACTTCGTCTCGCTCTCGGTGTCAGCATCAATCGCATCGTCGTCGTCCACGAGTTGGGCTTGGTGGGCAGAATCCATCGATGATGATGCTTGAGGCAGTGAGGGGGGGCCCCGATCGACTTGCTTGCCCTTCTCTTGCGATTTTGGCGTAGGCTAATGTATGTTGTCACATTTGATAGCGCGATGGACGAACTGGATTAGACATACCGGAACGAAAGCTACGGGCACACGCAACAGTCGGGTTTGCTCAGTGATTCGACTTGGTCTTAACAGCAGCTGTGTGCGCATAGCACGAACATCATCCGGGGTGATCTCCCTCCGTGGGGTCCTCGGCAGAGTCGTCGGCGCGGAAGGCTCCAACCCTGCGGCAGGCGACGTGGGCTGCACGTTGCCGGGTGATGCACTAGGATCTTGCATCGTGCTGGGCGGTGCACCCGTGGCGACTGGAGCTTGCACAGACGCACTAGTCCTAGGGTCTTGGATTGTGCTGGACGGCGCGTCCGTGGGGACTGGAACTCGCGCAGATGCTGCGGGAGTTGTGGTTGCCGAGGATTGATGTGTCGCCTTCCCTGGGGCAGTCTCCCCTTCGCCAGCTGATTTGTTTGGGGGCACTGGAGGGTTCGAGGATGGCTCCGCCGGCGCCGAGGTCCCAGAAGGTGGAGAGGCGATTGAAGAATCTCTTGGTAGTGCTTTAGGCCTTGATCTAATCAACGATAAATCCGGACTCGATAGGTTTTTCATCATATCAGCGACGAGTCCCTGAACCGGGCGATTAGTACCATTGCACCACCCCCAGAAGTAGGTGCACGTCGTACCACAACCCTCTCAAGCACTCCGGCAATGGGCAGGTCGCTCAACGTCTTTGGCGTCTTTGGCGAAGGCTCTCGCACGCCATCCGTTATTTCGAGGACAGGAGCCGACTCGTCATCGATCGCCGGCGGGGGGGACGGGCTTCTACCAACCAACGCCTCTTTCGTCTCTTGCGCTACATCATAGACTCGTTCCATCATATCCAGGACCTCCTGGCGCTCCACGTATAGCTGTTCCGTGCGATCTCTGTTGGACAATTCATGTTTCAGTTCCGTCACCGCCTCTTTTGCACGATCTCGAGACTGCATCACGTCCAGTGAATGAGATACCATCTATTTTACTTAGCAAGTTATTAAGACGGACCTTCCTCGTGTTTACGACCACCATCTCGGCGTCATTCAGCTTTTGCAAATACGTATCACGCTCCCTCGTTTTCTCCTCAGCGATAGCGGTGAGAACCTGCACCTTCTTCAGGCATGGTTTAAATCCATGCGACAGACGTAGCAGTTTCAACGGATGCACCGCGGTCAATTCACCATTTTCGCGGGCAAGTTCCTGCACCCTATGAGCATCATTCAAAAGCTGTTCCGTGTTCTCGACCACGGATCGCAGCTGAGCATTGATTTCCGCTAACGAAATCGCGTCGGTACCACTTTCTTGCAGCATATGAACGTCGTCAGGCTCGATTGGCGCGATTCCTGGAGTCGGGAGAAGCTCGGACTATCCAACCGGTTAGTTGAACGTCTCCAAGGGTACGAAACACATACCATGTCCATCCTGCGGCTGTTTCCAAGTAATCTTTCCACATCTTCTGCATCGCGCTGAGTGACAACGCTTGCCGCACGCGATGTGGCTAAGTCGTCTTGCAGACCCTGGACCTCGGATTGGTGATCGATGACCACTTCCATCATCGCTCTCTCATGTGCGGCATTCATCACCTCGACATCCGCAGCATAGCTTTCCCTCAACGTCTGGATCTCCATCTCCAGCTGCTCGCACCTTCGCTCCGCCACCTGCGCGCGCTGCCTCAGGTCTTCAAGGGACTCCTTGTGCTCCTGTTCCACCCGCTCCAGCCGCGACCGATATTCGATCTCCATGTTGGAGAGCTCCTGCTTATGTAGCTCGGCAAGCGTGGAAAGCTCCTGCTTATGTAGCTCGGCAAGCGCGGAAACGCGGTTCTGTTCTTCTTCCTTGAGTTGTGATTGGAGTCCAGCCGACAACGCGTTGTACTCCGCTGCTCAGCCAACTTCAACTCGACGCTAACAATGGGGAATGCTGCAGCACGTACCAGAGAGCTTCGCAAGACTGGCTGCTTGCTCGTCACACCGCACCTGCGCGGTTGCCCGCGCTTGCCTTTCTTCTGCCAGCTCTCGACTCTGTCGACTATTTATCTCTGAAGACGTTATCAGATCCTGGCGGGCTTGTGATGTACATCAGAAACCTACCCCTGAGCGCATGATACTTGTTCTCCGTCGCTTCTTTCCCGTGGCGAAGCTCTGCAATAACGCGCTCCCGGTCCGCTAGGACTAATTCTAGCAGCACCGTATTGTCCGAGTACTCCGTCTGCAGTTCGGCGTCCGACATCTCGCGACGGTCGACTTTTTGCGTTTCGATTAGTCCCGTATCGTTCAAGTATTCCGTCTGCAGCTCAGCGTCGGACATCTCGCGATGGACAACTCTTTGCGTTTCAATCAGACGGCTCTCCATCGCAGACAACTGCTCTTTCACAGCCTGGAGTTCTTGGTCGGACGCCAACAGCTGACCAACCACAGACTCGTGGTTTTTCTTTGTTACGGCGACTTCCTCGATGGCCGCGTTCCGTTGCTTCTCAGCCTCCGATAATTGCTCGTGCAGCCGTACACAGTCCTGCAACAGGGGATCAAGAACAATCCTTGTGGCTTGAAAGTCTTGGCTTACCCGGTTCAGTGACTCGGCAGCCCTGCGCAATTTGTTCATCTCCACCGAGGCATCCGCTAGCCGGCTCTCCAAGGTCGCAATGTCCTGTACAGTGCATCGGCAACTAACTCAATCGAGGGAAGCGAGGAACGTGCTCACCTTTCGCGCTTCGGCCAAGTGACCGTGCTCTTCAGATGTTTCCACCTTGCTCTCCTGGGCACTGCGAGCCTGCTCATCACGATCTTCCTGAAGACGTGTGTACTCGTCTTGTAGTTGAGAGAGGTCATGCTGCAGGGCGTTGAAGCGCTTGCATCACCATTCCACAACGTCGACTTACTTGTAGCTGGGCGCAGGTTGTTCGTAAATCGACACCTCGTTGCGTTTCCTGTTCGTACTTTGCGCTGACCTCCTGCAACGCCGCTGTCGCTGTCTCATGTGCTTCTGCATGACGCTCCGCAGCAGATACCGCGTCTGCCACCGCCTGGATATATATCAGTTGCGTTTGTACTCGGGCTGGTTTCCACCCAAAGTTCACCTTCCGCATATCAGCGAGCTGCTGTTTCGCTGTATGACACTCCACTTCCAGGTTTACATATCGTGCTTCTGATTCACGCAAGGCGGCTCTAAGCTCTTCGACGAGGCGCTCGTTCTTTGCCCTGTCGCGGCGGATCTGCTTCGGTTCAGGTTCTTCCAAAGTCATTTCTCGTCGAAGTCCTGCAGCGCCAGTGAGCGCAGGTTGTGATGTCGTGTCGTCATCTTCGTCAAACGGGTTTCTCGACGGCGATGCCGTGGGTTCGAGGGTGAATGCCGGCAAGGATAGGTTCCGCTCGGACACACGCGACGGCCTCTTCTGTTGGGCAGCAGTGAGCTGCAGCTGCAACTGAGCATTCGCGCCTTCCAGACTCTGGATGTCCTTTCGGTACTGTTCGATCTGCAGATGGAAATCACGACAAGCGGGAGGCACAATGTGAATGATACGCACTCCTCTGGACGCCTCTTCTCGCTGCAGCTCCACCAATCTCAATTCCGCCGTGCGTGCTTCCAGCTGTGCTGCGGCGGTAGCGATATCCTCCTCCAAACGATGGCGATCCTGTTCTTCCTGTATTTAGGAAGTCAGTGCTATCACCGACACTACTCGCGCACGCGAATCGACCTTTGAAAGCCTGATCTGCAACTGCTCGAACGCTCTTTCGTCGACACGACCCTCCGGTGGCTCCTCCCTGCTCCGTGCCTTGAGGATGGCCTGCGCTTGGTCGATCTGAGAAACAGATTCAGCGCCAAATTCGCGTGCACAAGGAAACACAGGTGGCCAACATCGTTGTATGCGTCCCTAGTCATGCGTCGCACGTCCATCGCAAAGGATAGAACCTCGTTCGGAATTTCATTGCCATGCTTGAGCATGCGCTCTACCAGAAGCTCAAACATTTCTTCCTGTGTCGCCCGAGCCTTATGGGTCTAACATCAGATCAGCGTTGGGTCGTTTCCAGGACCCAGACCCAGCAACTTACTTTCAACATGCGGGCGCTTAGGACTTCGACAGCCTTCCTATCGGGTTCTTCAGACATCTCAGCTACCACGTTTGTTAGTTCGTCGATCTGCTTCTTATGGGCCTATGGAAATGTCAGTGGGCATGGCACCCCTGGTCGAGTAATACATCACCTTCATGTCGAAGTTTGCTACCATATGCACCTGTGCTATCTCTCGCTCTCTGAGGGTCTCGTCCCACGTGTCTTGCCATTTCCGTAGGGCCACAGTATCTGTCCCGGGACCCTGTAGGACAGTTGTTCGACGGTGCGTAGGGCGGCGACACGAGTCACGAATAAACTTACGTCCATGTCGATGTCCTCCACATCCTGGTCGTCCGCACCGCGATCTCTTTTGCGCCGCTTGGAGGCGGCAGGTCGCGGGTTCGCGCTCGAGAGATCCATAATGATAATCCTGCGGAACGCGCAACTGGATCAAATAGTGCGCGCGGATCCGGAGGTCCGCGGGCAGGCACAGGGGATGCGAACTCCGCAACACGCTCCCGACACGTGCTGATCCATGAGGAAAGGAGACTCGAGCACGACGGGTGTGTTAGACAGCGCGAGAAGTTGGCCAGGGACCACCATGCCCTGCTAGAAACAGATATAATGAAGCGTGCGGAAACCGGCCCCACAGCACACCAAGTCGTTCCCAGACGCAGACTTGGAAGATGAGCCGTAACCGCATCGCAATCATGCCTTCCAGAGACGTGAGCTCGGTTTCTCTACGGCGCATTTCCGCTCATCCCACGTACAGACAAGAGAGCTCCGACTTCGCAGTCGCCTATACGCGGGTAGCGATACCACGCCCCGAACGGTGACCGTTCTCGTCCGCGAAAGACGCCGTCAACCGTCATATCGCTACCCCATACCGGAAAGTGTTCTCGATTCCGCCAACGTTCAACCTTACGTGCACGATATCGTTGTGCATTTCGAATTCGGGAGCCGAGTCCACCGAATTTTACTATTCTTCAACAGACACAAGAGACTGCCCGCGAATCGATCCTTACCTACAGGATGTCGTCCCGAATATAAAGGAGACCTCTTAGCCATGCGGTTATCCGCCCGCACCCCCAGAAGCCCCGTCAACATGAGAGCAGGAGACTGGAGGGTTGCAGACGAAGCCGTGAGACGGTAAGCGCATTGCGTCAGGTTACAAAATACCAGACGCTGACTTTGCAGTAGATTCACCCTTTACCGATTGACCTGGCCGAATTGTAGAAGATTCCCAAGAGAGATATGGCTCTGATATTGCTCCATGTACATATTGCAACGCATACAAATACTTCTGATAAAATTAAGCCCTGCCTTTCCCCTTTACCTGAGGCCCCCGTGCGCGAGAAGCGGGCAGAGTATCACCGCTACCACGCCCTCGACGTGGCCTACTCCCCGATGCGACAGGACCCTGGGCAGCAACTGCAGCGGGGCGGGATGAAGCAGCATGAGGGACCCTCGCGCTCAAAGACGCTCGTGCGATCTCTTCGAATGCACGGAACACGCGAGCCCCACGCTGATTACGAGGCCGCTGATTAGCCCGCCATTGATCCGACAGCAGCGGTTGCTTGGAACCGCTGCGACACCCGGCGACGTGCCCGCGGAACCACGCTTCATCGGTCTCCGTCCATATCCCATGATCCCAAAACTTGTTGCCCCGAGGGAACCATGACACGAGAACACGCCGGCCAGAACTCCCCTTCTCAGCTAGACGCGAGGATTGAACAACAAAACGCAACGGGGCAAAACACTGACTTACAATCGATGACCACATACGAACCGCATACCAGGCGCTGCTCTTCCGGAGACAGAATATCGTCTATGTATCGTGCACCGTCGGTATCCACTGCAAATGCCGCCCAAGCCTTTTGATCATCGGAGGGGCCGGCCACCCCAGACTCCAGCAGGCCGGCGGGGCCATATTCCAGCGCGATACGCCATACCGGACCGCCCATCATCAACGCTGCCCTCGCGCGTTTCGTCTTGAGGAACTCCGTGACGATGTATTCCCATGCCCCGAAATCCTTTGCAGTCGCCTTCCCGAGCCAAGTCTCCCGGATTCTGAACGGCAGGCCATGCCTAGTGGACTGCCTAGGCGTCTCCGGCTGGTTGTTGGACGCCTCACGAACATACGCCAATTGGAAGGCCACGCCGTTATGCAAGAGGTGTCGGGCCAGGCCCGTAACCTGATCGCAGCCCTCCACAGATGGATGATCCCGGAGATAACGCATTGCCTGCATCGTGGACACGGCGCTCTTGAGAATCAAGCAGACCGAAGAGGCACCCTCCTGAGCTTGATCGCGGAGCCGGAAGACGTACACGAGTGCCTCGAGGGGTGGATGTACTTTTCCCGCATCACCAACACCCACATTATCTTCAAATTCGCGCGTTAACTTCATCGTGCGACAAGTTAACTGCACCTCGCCGATCTGACTTGATTGGAACTCGAAGTTCCAGTCATGAACCACCGGCGGCAAGTTGGCGACGCTGGCGTGGATCTCAACATATCGCGTATAATCGCGCAACCGGCTGACCAGCGCGACGTCCTGACCAAGTACCAGGCCGTCGGGAGCGGTTCTGCTCCCGCCGTATATGTAAAGCAGCCTGTCCAGATCGTACGGCTGCAGCGGGCCGTTCGTCGTATCCCCGCGCCAGTGGATGGTGTCGCCGTAGGTGTATGCCTGAGTCTTCCACCCGTACCGCAGGCGAAGTCTCTCGAGCAATCCACCGAGAGAGAAGGATAACGAAAACGGATCTTGAAACGGTCGATCAACGACCTCCACCAACGAATCGTGATACTCCTCGTAAGCGGACCGAAAAGTATCCACCTCTTCGCTGGTGAATCCGAATTGCGGTTGACCGCGGTTGGGATTCCGAGGGAGGAGTAACGGTTCGTTCATGGCGTCGCCTTCCGCATCCCAACCATAATCAACGTCGATGATATCGGGATCATAGCTGGCGAAGCCCGCCGCCGCGCTCTGTGAGGCAGCAGGTCGACGAGCGCCGCTACGAGGGGGGAGACCCCAACCGCCGTACACATCGATTTCGCGTCTTCGAAGATTTATCCTGAAATGACGATGATCGTACGCGAGGAGGACGTTAGGTGCGGATGTAGGGGAAACTAGATGCCTGACGAGGTAATCACCATCCCCCACCCACAGATAAACGTCGCATGCAGGGCCGTCTGTGATCACCTCCTCGTCAGTCGGAGTCCACGACGATCGATTGGCACGCATCAGCTCCGCAGCATCCTCCGCATCGCGCCGGCGGAAGAACGTGTTCATCGACACGATGCCTTCTTCTCCTTCCTGCTCCGGACGTACATCCGGTCGATATATGGCGAAGGAGTCCATCGTTCGTCTTGCGATGGACCACGCGTTGTGACCTGGAGTGGCCGCCCCCAATACAGTGTGCAAACCCCCCAATTCCCGCTCATCGGCGGGCCACCAAAACTGGATCGGAAGACCCCAAGCGCGTACTGTTTTTATCAGCGGCATCAGATATTCGTCACGCGTCCTGCAGCGCAGCGATAATCCCGCGCGCTCAGGACCAAAGAGGCTAAACACCGGAGTGGTGAAGAGTAAATCAATCCATATGGGCGTCAAGGTGCCCGCCCTCAGGAGATGTTCCCGAATTTCCTCACAGGAAAGATGCCGCCGGAGGTAGGCATACAAGTACGAAACCTCGCCGATCATTGGCGAGAATGCGTTGATTGCCCGTTGGGCGAAAGTGCGGGCGCGCATGCGAGTGGAGAAGGAGGCCCTCATGTTCATGTCCGTGGGCCTGGCCATTGCTTCGTATTCGACCCCGGCGAGCCTCGCGTGTGTGGCAAGGGGATGGGTGGCAAGGCTGGCCTCAGTCCTGACCAAGGCGTCCACGATGTACCACCACTGCTGTAACTTCTCCTTGCTGAAAAAGAAACTTTGAACTCCTCCGGCGATCGTCTGTTCGTACACCGGCATATCGAAGATGGATGCGAGGAGTGGGTAATCGGCCAGCTGCGTAGGGTCGCGGAGCATGAAGCACAGTCCGAGGTTTCGGTTGGGATTGTACGGGATCACACCGTAGAATGACGTTCGATGTATGACCCGTTCATCGGCGAACACGTCCCACAATTCCTCCTGAAGCATCAGTCCATATCGATTGCGTAATTTCTCTATCTCGGTAAACCCGCCTTTCGCGGGCGCGGCAGACGTGAACAGATCCACGGCGTTGAGCTCGGTCACCACGGATGAGCCCCGCACCGGAGTATTGAAGGGACCGTAAGTTCGAACGGCGGAAGGACGGACGACATCGGACGGGAGCTCCCAATCTGTAGGTGCGCAATGCCAATCAGGGTATATGTCTGCCCAGCTGTGCGATTGCGGGCCCAACGGAACAAAATTTTGCTGTCCTGCGCTGCGGGGGAGCGCAATGTGAGATTGTTCAAACCTTCCGGTGCGGGGATGGTGAAATCCGAGCGTGATCTTAATCTCGTCCGCCGACGCAGAGGGAACCTGGTGAGTGGCTGGGGTGCTCATGGTTGCTACAGTACGAGTTTCGATCAGCTGCAAGCACCCCTGGAGCACATCTGCTCACTGACTAGTCGCGAGATCGGAAGGCGCTGTGACGAGATGCGGGGGGAACGGAGCACGATGGGGCAGCCTGCGACGATATAGATAAGGTCGACCTCGCGTTGATCGTTATTACCTACAGAAGCTTGCTAGATCCGACTTGGCGATTTCATCACCGCCCCAGAAACTTCTCTGCACGCCCACGCTTGGACACTCACACACCAGCACGCAATCACACAGCGATTGAAAAGAGTTAGATCTACCGTTGATACAAATTTTCTGTTCTATAGCATTGCGAATGACTATTTCTACCTCACGGCCGCTTAATACAAATATCCTCCTGCTTGATGCCGGATTTGAACGAAGTGACTTCCTTCGAAACGAGGAAGTTGCAGTTAGTATTATGCCCGACTCGCTCACGGATACGAATTGTTGTCGCACCTGTTTCCGCGTATCGCTACAATCAAACAAGCTGGAGCTCGGTAGGAAGAGCCTAGACTGCGCGGTTCAATTTCAGGTTGTCGTCGCTCGAGCGAAGGACGAGACTTACCCCTCTGACCCAACGGCACTTTGAGCGAGACGACCCCAGAACCGTCGAGCCGGGTCAACGTTGTCCCTCGCCAGATCGCAAGCGACTGGCACCTCTGCTTCGGTTTTATCGCGGGTCATACCTGCGCACAGACTTTAGCAACGCGACGGGGAAAGAATCGATACTTAATTAGAGTGTAGCCGATGGTGACTAGGAATGGCTTCTACTAGGTATTGCCTATGACGATCGCGTCG